AATATAAATTATTATATTAAAATTTAATTTTTGTAATTAAAAATTAGTAAAAGTAATAGCCTAGGAGGAATGTGATGACAAGCAGAAATGTTACAAAATTCCACAGTTCTGGAATTAAGAGGCAGTCCCTGAAACCACTAGGAAGTCAGTATGAAACAGGTACTTTTTCATGCAGAATGTAGAAATTCTGAAATTTCTCACTCCTGGAAGTTATGGAGTGGCAGAGTTTGAGACAAACTTTAGGTGTATGCAATGTAGGATGTCACAAGAGAATCTTCCACATTCTTAAATGTCAATCAGTTTCACGTTCTGGTTTGTTTGTTTTTTACTTAATTCAAGCAATACCTTTTCTGATAACACCTATCAAAAAAATTCATCAAAATAAATATATGTATTTTAAAAATATGAATAATCTATTAATATTTAAAAATTATTTTATTTAGACTATTAAAATGAAATATTCAATTTATGACCGTTTTCCTCAGAAAATATTGAAAAATCGACCTAAGTGTTTCATTCTCCTCTTCTTACACACCATTACCAGCAGTCAGATAATCTTATTGTTGTTCACCAGGGCCTTCTCTTGGGTCTCTTACAGAGGCTTCATGATGGTATGTCTTAGAAGAGACCCCTAAATATGAGGCAGCCAGCTAGAGTTCCACTGGTGGAATATGAACATCTTCAGTCTTTTGGAAATCCTTTATTTTTCAGTAAAAGAAGTCAAATTTTTAAAGAGAAGGAAGCATGTATGTTCTAGACCCAAATAATTAGCACTAAACAAAAAATTGATCAGAAATCGTCTGGCTAAATTCTCTCCATGCGCGCTCTCTCTTGCAGTTTGCAAGAGTTCAAGATGGAGGCTATTTAGAACATGAAAGGGAAAAGGGATGGTGGTTTTTCCACCCACAAAGGGATTGAGCTGCTCAGCAGAAGTTGCTCCAGAAAGCTGGCTAAAACTTCTCTGCCATTAAGGAGAAAACCAAGGATACATCACCTTTTCTTCCATACTCTGAGCTTATTAAGTAGCTCTTTTCCACCTTCATCCTGTGCAGGACATCATATGTGATCTTTTCATGAGGATTGTATTGTGCAAAATTGGTATGCATATTTTTTATGTCCACTTAGAATAGTACTGACTGTAGATTTTTTGAAAAGATCTCAGAATCATTGCACACAGCAACCTGATTTAAATGATGGCACTGCAGTTTTTCACTTTTATTGGTTTTCTGTGAAAACTTGTTCTGCTAAGGGCTCTGCTGTTGACAAGATGATCTCATTTCTCTTTTTGTAAAGAGAACTTTCCAAAAGTTTGATTTAATAGGAAACAATATTTATTCTACTTGCACTAGAGGCTTAGAGAGGATTTTATTTCATTTTACTTTTCCCAAAGTAAACATTTCCCTCAGAGTGGTGCAGTCCATTCTGAGAACAGCAGCAGAAATTGAGATAGTATTTGCAACAGAACCAATAAGGAGTTTATCTATACTTTTGTATCCAATCACTTTTTTGGATTTTGTCTAGGAGAAAATAATTTTCAACTCAAATAAATGCATAATGCCTATGCAGAGAAGGCAGTAGGCTCTAATTATCTTTTTACAGTTCCATTAAAACATAAAAGCAAGGATAACCAAAAGTATTAGAAAGAAAATATGCTTTGCAGAACACAGAACTTTATTTCTACCTACAAGAAAAGCTTAAGAAATTAGAAGATTTTAAAGATAAGATTTCTTTAGTCACAAGCCACAGAGTGCAGACCTTTTCTTGACCCAGTTCCCCATTTTAATTTTTCTATTTTTTTTTTTCTTTTTCCTTTATATGCATTCTAGTTTCAGGACACTGACTTTTAAATGTCCATGTGAAGTGTTGCACAGTCTTGGGAGGAATATTAGTTAAAGTTTTGAAATTGGATTTGTCAACTGCTTTTTTAATACCCTTCTTCACAAAAAGTATTTGACAATAACCTTCTGGTTATGAGAATTAACTCATGATCTGAATTTTTTTTTGTCTGTTTCTCATTGTTATGTTTCTGTGGTGGAAATCTGTTCACTGTGAGTGACTCAGGTATAAAATGATGAGAATGATTCTAGGGTTTTTGTTCTCTCACTAATGTTTCCAGTAAATGAACATGGACATTTATGTATGATATTAAAGTAAATTTCCTGCAATTTTGTTAAAATAGATCTCTGACACTCAAAAAAAACCCCAAAAAACCAAAAAATACTTAAGTATAAATTATGTTCTCTATTTATTTGACATAGAGGTAGATTTCTCTGTTTCATTTTGTGTGGTCATTCCTTACCCTTTGATAGTATTGTTTTCTTAGCTTATGCTTCAGTGAAATTCTAGGAAATAGCCTGTATTTAGACTTGCAAGTATTTCTTCCCAGAAACCTGTTAGCTGCTGAGTGATGACCCTTTGTGGTGAAAACATTGATTTTCATATTTTAGCCATCTTAAATTAACAATTTGTTTCAGAAAAGGTCATACTTGTAATATAATTGTGACTTATTAGAAATAATTAAGCATTGGTTTATGTACTGGAAAACAAAATACAATGTAAATTTGTCTTCTCAAACAGTGGTACATTTTAAAGTTTCTTTTCATCATTTATGTGGTAATTGATTTCAGATTTTCTGTTTATTTTTCTCTAGGTTGCTCCTGATAAAATAAGTTTCAGATTCATTTTACACAGAATGTCCATCTTTGATGAAAATGTGTCTTTTACTTCTAGTAATACTTGCCTTTCTAGGAAATGTAAAAGACGTATGCATATACCTGGCTGAGCCATAAAATGAGAATTTTAATTTATAATTATTTGTGCTTTGGCTAGTTCTCTCTGAAATGTTAGGAACAAGGGCTTAGTCCCAGAAGACTTTATTTCTCAAATTTTGATCTCAAATAGTTTCAAAGCAGTCTTTTCTTGCAGTAAAGTTAGAGCATGTGATTTAATGTATTATTGTTGCATGCCATGGGAAGTTTAATCTTTTGTTAGTATGCAGCATAATAGCATATTTTCTTAGATCCAGAGCCTTAAAAGCCCCTGGTTCTCAACTACAGAATGGAGTGCCCAAATGGAATTACTTCCTGACACAGTGCTGCCTAACTTGCCTTCAGTTAAAGTTTTCTGGGCGTCTAGGCACCGACAGAAAGTTTGCTTCCATTTTATCACAGTTAGATGACCTGGCACGTGTTTTGTGTCTGTTCCAGACCCTCACAAAAGAGTCCATCAAGAGTTTACTGAGAGAGGCTACATTCAATAAGCCTCTTCTTTGATACTCCATAAGCATGTGCTTGAATCTCTTTATCTCAATATTGTAACTCCATTTTGTGAAGGTATGGTAGTCTGAGACCATCTGTCTTCAGAGTGTGAGGAATTTTACCCTACTTTTTCCATATATGTGGATGTCAGAGCTGGAGGCTTTTGCTAATTTGTTTGGAGACACTTGCCATTCTTATACTGAAATTGTTCCATTATGCTGTGAACAACCAAATTATTGTTGGAGCAGAAAAAAGCAAGTAAAACTGTTTGAAGGGATTTGGAAATTCTGAAGAGGCCTCTTCAACTCATACTTCAAGACAAAGTCAATTTAGAATAGACAGATATTTTATTGAATGTACAAATCCAATCTTCATAACGGGTGTCCTTTCAGTTTGTTTTTTTATCATCTTCCAGAAGCTCTTCCCCTGCCCATGTTTCCTCTCCACAAGGTTGAGACATTTTGGGCTGCTGCAGTGACTAATGCTCTTCCTGCCTGCCAAAATCTCTTATGAAAATCCAGTAGACAGTTGTTATTCTAGATTAGTTATTTTCAACTTGCTGTGTGAATCTCTTTAGAAAATTCACATTAATCGTGTTATACAGAATAAAAACTTGCTTTTCTTTATGTACTCTGGATTTTATTAGAGACAGTTGGGACATACCTTGTATTATCTACAGAACAGATGTAGTATTACCTGTAGAAGAAGCAGAATTGTTCCATCTTCATGGTTCCCCTCTGAGAATACCAATTCCTTTTAGATAGAAAACTGAATTTAGTTTTTGTTCGCTACTTTGCATGGTCTGGATCTAGGTTAATGATCTCTAAAGAAGAGACTTCATCAATTACAAGTAATTTGGTTTAAATTCCACAGTTTTTTTTCAGCAGAGAATGTTCAGGTCTAATGATTACTTCAGAGTAAATTATTTACTGTAAGTGTATAATGCATACATTGTAATATATTTAGTTCTTGAGATACGCTGACTGTTAGCCTGAAATACTCAGTAAAAGCAGTAAGTCTATATTTAAAAGAGCTTTAGTTCTTTTCATAAAGACAAGGCATCTGCAAAGTCTATGTGTGTACATACACTGTAGGAGTGGGGCATTTAGAGGTTGCATTTCTAGCAGTCTGGTTCACTTAAAGTTAATTTATTTTCTTATGTAACTTGATTCCTTTTTACTGAGGCTGAAAAAAAATCAATTTCTATGATATGTCACCTCTTCAAAGTCATAACCAACACTGCTGATTCATGACATGATTACCATGCCTTCAAAAGTTCAATTAGCTCAATCTGAAATAGAGTTTCCAAAGGCAGTGTTGTCCTTTGAGGTAATATAAATGTCAGAAAAAATGTACTAGCTGAATAAATACCATCCACTTACAGTTAAATACTAAGACTGCAGATGGATTATGGCACTTAAGCAAATAGAGCCATATTGTAGAAAAGGTTGCAAATATGCCTTTCAACCCTGTGAGTTCTGTCCAAGAAGAATCAATATAAAAAATAGACTTGCAGTGTTCTAAAGTAAGGTGCTTCTCTAAGCTGTGTATTTTTGTGAAAATCTTTCTGCTTTAAAATCAAATGCGCTTGAATTCGTTTATTTGCTGTTGCTTTTTTTTTGTGTGTGTGTACTGCTGATACCCTTAGTTCTCAAGTTACACTAAACTTCAAATTGAACTTCACATAAATTGAGAAAATAGCATTACTTCCATTTTGAAAGAGTTTTGCTTTTTTGTTTACAGGAGCTTTGTCACCCACTGCAACATCTATGGATGTGAGCTGGGCTCCTCAACTTTGTGCATCATGGATACCCCTCTGGCTTTTCTCTGGAGAGGTGATAATTGCATGCTTTGTACAGTCTTCTATTAATCTGGTAATATGAAAAATGGATTTAGGATGATAGTAGTCACTGGAAAGGGAGATTGATAGACAAAGTGGTTTGAACCTAGCCCGAAGGTTACTGTATGTGTTTTTGCTAAGGGAACAGAAGAATATCCCCCAAAAAACTGTGAGCTATAGTGACAACTGTGATGAATGAGGGGGGTATGCTTGACTGGCAGGTTTATATGAAGGGTTTGAATGGTCTTGGATTGTGCAGCCTGCAATACGTAACAAAGCTGGCTTTAATCGTTTGCCTACTGAGCTTCAAAGACTTTCAGAAGTTGTCACAACAAGTTTCTTTTCAGAATGCCTGTTCTCTCCTTCTCTTTGTGTTGCTGAGTAACTAATGTGGTATGTGGGGTATACAACTTACTGTAAAAGATCCAAGGCTTAAGATTAAAATGTTTGAGGCTTTCATATAAGAACATGAGGCAGTGGAAGTCTTCAGGAAAAAAAAAAAAATCAGAAGCAATATGGTGATTGGTACTTGGATTTTTTTGGGATATGTGATTCGGTGACAGTGGGTACTTTGGAGCCAGTATACCTCATAGAATATTCTAAGAGCTGCCTAGGCATGCAATGGTGTACTCTGTCCAGACATTGTCAACATCTTGGTGTTTTTTCTATATCAGACCCTAACTGAAGACAATATAACAGCATTTAAGGAGACAGTAAGTGGAGGAAAAGCAACATGTTTGGTTTCAGCTTGTTTCAGCTGTGTTCTGCAAACCCATGTGTTGTGAAAAACATGCAAAAAATAACTAAAGTTGTATTTTTCTGCAGCCAAATTATGATGTGAGGGAATAGGTTGGGATTCCAGTGTACAGCTGAAAGTTATGGGACAAGGAGGAATAATTTAGTAGGGATGCTCCTCTTTCCAGCATTAAATCAATCAAAACAATGGTTTAGGTTCAACATTCTCAGCAGCAAAAATCCCTCCATGAGCCAAAATGGAGAACAGGACAAACTGTTCATTTTCAGTTCCTGTGCAATGAAAATGGTGGTGGTATTATAAATCAGTTTCTGAAAGCTGCTGGAACTATCAGGCATTATCCAAGATCTGCAATCTATATTGAAACATTATTCTCTAAATGACAGATTTTAATACTACTCACCATCATTTTTTCAACTTCGGATTCCTGTATCTGAGATGCAGAACTGTGATAATGACCTTTATTATACAGAATCTGGTGTAACAACTCAAGCATTTTTTCCAGGATATAATGGGTGGATTTGATATGAACAGCTTGCTTTTAGGTTTAGTGTTGGAAAAAGTAATTACTGCAAGTTAATTGCAATGCTGCTGGTTTTGTTTTGAACATAAGGTGACTATTCCAGCACAATTTAGGGTGAAATCTGGTTAGATTTTGATAAAATCCTGTGTAAATATGCACCTGCAAAAATCATGCTCTGTCTGATAAATATCCTGTATCCATAAACAAGAGCTGTAGTGGAAACCAAGCAAGCTTCATGTTTCTTACATTGGTCAGATGACCCTGGTACTGTACAAGATGGGTGTTGAAAGGAAAAAGACACTTAATTCTGGCTGAATGTTTTGGTTTGTTTGTTTTTTTTCCATGATAAATCAGCTTTTAATTTTGCCATATTCTATATTTTACTTTTTCTTTCTTAAAAAGTAAAGTATTAACTTTTTGTGGTTTAGGAATGGTACTCTCCAATTTAATAGTCTTGCCAAAATCATGCCACTGCTCACTTCTGCCCTCCCCCTCCAACTGGAAGCCCAAAAGTCCAAGATCATGGGTGGAGCTGACTCATAACATAGGAATTGGCTTTCTGATGATTTATTCTTGTAATTATCAGAAACATTAACATGAGCGTCGAACTACAGGAGCTCAAATAAACTCCTGTATTGTTCACTAAATGGCTACACCTTTGTGCTGTCATAACTGGCTACTGTAGCAAGGATTGCAGGGTGCCAAAAAGAATTCTGACTTTAAGTGTTGAGGAAGAGATGAAACCAATTAATACTTGTAGGAAATATTTGTCATTTTTTGAACTAACTCAGCAAAAGAGACATAACTATCTTGATTTCTTCTTAAAGTAATATTCTCCAGGTTTTTGAAAACTGTCAGAGTAAGCGCGTTGATCTTGCTGAGAGATACCCGTTGAGGTTTGTCATATGATGTTATGCAGAATATATGTTGTAGAACTACAGACATTTGGAAGAGCCTGTGGGACAGCTGAATGGAAAGTGTTTGTAAATCTCATTTATCAAGTATTAAAAGTATTACCATAGAGAAGATAGTTCTCTGACTGTATAAAGCAATGGGAAGCAGATACTTTTAGTTCTTTCCAAAATCTGATCTTAAGCTGTATTGGCCTCTTTGAAATGTTTCCTTTTGATTAACTCTGCCTAACTTGCACAGTGTCTACTTCATGAAGTTCTGAATTTTTTTTTAATTTTTTTTTTTTTCAATACCAAGTGATACCACTGAACAATTTTAAAGCAAATCTATTATACTCCTTTTGATGAGGAAAACAAGAAGTTGGCTTTACTGAAAAGAAGTCAAACAATACTGAAAGAATAGCACCTCAATTACCTTATTGCTTCAGGACATAAATTAGATAAGTATGGAACTTGAAAAATAGTATTTTGTAAAGCTCCAAATAACTTGAATATAATGAACTTAGTTTAATCCAATCAAAAATATTTCTAACTTTGCTTTACATTTAGAGGTATACTTTTATTTCAGCTAAGAATATTTTTAATTGAAGTGTGAGTCAGACTGGCCCCACGGTTATCTCTGTAAGACACAAGGAAATTGGAGAAAGTTGTAAAACTGATTGAAGTTCAAAACTGTTCTAAAGAATAGGTTTATCCAGAAACAACTACTTTGTTTTATAAGGACAAAGAGCTGGGATTTTTTTATGTTGACAAATCAGAAGCACTGCTGCCACTGAGACTGAGACACTTTGTTGATAGGTCAGTGCTATTTCAAGATCACACGAAAAGCTATCAGAGGAAATACACAAAGAAAGGGCATACTTTTGACTCTTTACTGGAGGTGACCAATAGCAAATACATTTTATGTGGAACTTGTAAGGAATGTGATTAATTTAGGAGGTTGGGCATGGAAAGAAAAATAGGAGCACCTGAATGTGGTAACACTTTGCATTTAATAAACAACTTGTGTGTAATATGTGGTGTTATTTGTAATTGTAAAAGTCATATTCTGAAGCCTTTAACTTAAGATATTTTGGTGTGGCTTTCAGAGAGTCAGAGCTAAGGAAATGGAAATGATAATGTACTCCACAGCAGAAGTTATTCCTAGGCTTTTGGTTATGCAAGCTCTGAAATGGGGTTTATCAGTATTATAAAATACAAAAATTGTTAGAACGACCAATTTGGTATTAGATTAATAGCAAAACTAAAGATGCATGAGTAGAAAACATGCAGCATGAAATAAGTAAGAGAAAGTTGAATGACTTTCAATTAATTAAGTAATATTTTCCAAAATTAATGTTTACTAGATTTTTCTTTAAACCAAAACCAAACTATTAAAAATTTTATAATTTGCCAGTTGATCACAACTTATATAAACACAACAATATAAACAATATAAAAACAACAATATAAAGGTGCTATATGTTTCATGGTTTGCTAAAATTATTTTAAAACTTCTTGAAAATATTAGGGAACATGTAATTGAGCAAGTGATATTGTGCTCCCCTTGTTTTATGCTGTGGTAACAAAAGCTTTACATTTTCTTTTTTAAATGCTGTTTATCATTCTACATACTCTTAGCCATATTCTTTCAGCTTTTAACACTTTAATTTTTATTAAATAATTTCATGAATTATTGCTTTTTAATGCTGCAGTCTTGGATTTCTTAGGTCTTGTCAGTACCAGAGGTATCTGTATCCTTCACTGGTTAAGTTAATGTAGCAGCAGACTTAAAGGTGGATTTCTGATTATTTCATGCATTTTCTGAGATTGAGACATATCAGACAGGATGGCTCCTGTTGTCAGCTATTTTCTTACTCTCATCAGTTTAAACTTGAGTTTCTTGGTATCATTTGTATAGAATGACTTTAGATTTGATTTTTAATCCTCTGGCATCAATGATTGTGTGAAAACGAGCATTGGATAACTCTGCAATCAGGTGAAGTCTGGATTAGTAAAGTATCAGACTGAAACACAGGGTATTCAGGCTCTCTTTACTCTTAGCCCAGTGACAGAACAGTGGTGAGACAGGTGTTTCATTGCTGTGTGCTGGACTTAGCCTGTATCTAAAGTAGGCATAATTATCTTTTGAATAATCTAAACTTTTAACTTAACATGTTTTTTGTTTTGCTTTGGTTTTTTTTGTTCTTTTTTTATTGTTTGTTTGGGTTTTTGGGAGGTAGCTGGGTGGGTTTTTTTGTTCATGAGTGTCTTGTTTTGTAGCTCTGTTCTTTCAAAGATGTGTATCTATATATGAAGTATAAAGAAAAAGTGGTGTACTTGAAAAACCTTATGAAGCAAGTCAGATCAGTAATCTAAAAGTGGTGTGGAAATAAACAGGTCTCTTCAATCTAAAAGTATAGCAAGATAAAATATACATATGTTAACTAACATGTCTAATTTTTAATCCTCAGTGAAGATGGTTCCCTTTTTCTGAAGTTCTGCCTGCACACTAAAAGTGTACTTATGGAATTAGGAGAATTGGACAACTAGAAATTTGTAAAATGCTAATGATATCTAGTTTTGAGTAAAAGCAGTATTATAAACTTTAATATGCTTCTAGTAAGTAGTAATAGTAGTGTGAAATTAATTTCTTGTTAATACTCAAGTACAGCTCTTCTGTTCCAAACACTGCTAAGGTCCTCCTTGATCTTCCTAGTTTGTCATATGAAGAATTACTTCTCAAAAAGTTGCTTTTGACCTTATGTTTTGTTGGTGTGGCCTCCTGCAGTAGCTGCCAGCATACCAAGGTTGCAGCAAAGATTGACAGGACAGCAAAAGAGAACTAACTTCTCTAACCACAGCAAAACACAAGACTGTAGGACAGAAAATACCACTGTAAAGAGAAACTGAAAGGAATTTCTGTTCACATGTTAAAAATCTTGGATTCTGTTTTATGTCCCACCAGCCTGGGCAGGAGATGTTCCCCTGTCTCCAGTCACATTGCTGGGTGGCAGTACTGTTGAGGATGTTTGCTTTGTTTTCTTTCTTATGATGAACTTAAATAGTTTCAAGATGAGATTCTCATTAACTAGGAAAACATTAGGATGAAAGAACTTGAATACCACCTGTATAACCTGTCAAATGAATTGATCTAAGCCACAATTACAGAAAGGTAATGCTCAAGGTGTGTCCTCAAACTTTAAATAGAGTGTTTGAAATCAAGTTCATCTGATAATGACTTGGTTGAAAATATTTACAGAGTCCAGGTAAAAAAGCTATATTCTTTGTCATCGATGAAGAGCAAATAACTGATTCAGTGGAAGAATGGTTACTCAATAGTTTAACTGGATGATTTAGTATCCTGTAGTGTAATTCTTGATATATCAAGTCTTCATTGCCTTAACAATTTTGATTTAAATACCCTGTAATTGCCGTAAAAAAATTATTTCCCCCTTTTTATTTTGAAAAAAGGTTGGTGTTTAAGTACATTTGTTTGTGGGGAAATAGAAGCAGACACCTTTCTGCATAATTTTTAGGAACTGTTACTTAAATTGCTGTTCAAAAATTCTGTCCATGTCTTGAATGGAAATTTTAATTAGGTTTTGGATGCCAGCCTTGTAATGGAAGGTGTAGTATACACAGAAGCACAGAGGCTTCTTGTACCAAAAATGTTAAATTGTTTTTTTCATAATAACTGACCTTTTTAAAGCATTTTAAAATGAGCTTCTTGGTTTCTTAATTTTATGCCAGATTATATATAAATTCTGTTGTTCTGCTTCAGAGAAAATAATGCATAATTTAGTAATAAAACAAATATGGTTTGTTATACTCTTTATAAAATCTCAGCAGTTCTAGCTCATATCTGATGTGCACGGGTACTGCAGTCACTAAGAGATGCCACAGTTAGTGTCCTGTAGTGCATTTCACATGAACCTGTGTAGTTCTAAGGGAGCTTTAAAATACATAGTACATGCCTCTATTCTTTTCTATAAAACATGTGTGTTGTAACATGAATCTCCTGAGGAATCTGAATGGTTTCTCCCTTTGTAAATTAAAGGGAAACAAAATAAAATCCTTCCTACAACTTTTATGATCCATATATGAACTAAGATGTGGACTATACTTGCTCGTCATTGCATTTCATATAATTAAAATGCATTTCTTTTCTATCTAATTGAGAATTGGGATAGCTTTATAAGTCTATTTTGCTGTCCCTGAGGACATTGCCAGTGAAAATGTAAAACCCACATGGTCTCCACAACTCTCTCCTAAGACAGTGTTTTTGTCTTGGAAGTAACACAGTGTAATATGAGATACAGCAGTTGCCAAGGTAACTGTTCTTTTCTCATTTGATAGCAGCAGGTGAATGGTTGCCTGGATATCCACAGTAATTTGCTGGGGCTCTAGTAATTCACGAAGGATGTACACATTCTTTTCCAGGCTTGTTTTTCTCTCACAGAAGCTTTGACTAAAAACCCAAGGTACATGATAAATATTAAAATATTATTCAGTATTATTAAATAATTATTCTTCCTTTTGTGCTGTGTGTTTAATATTAATATTTTAATGCTGTTTTAAATGCAGAATATTAGACCAAGATCTTTTTATATTATGATGGTTCTTTTCAAAAGAACTTTTCTGCTTTTTTTTTATAATCTTGCTTTGCTATTCCAAAACCCTTCAGAAATTTAACTAATTAACACTGTATTTAAGTCTGGAGGAAATGAGACAAATTTTCAAATGCAATTTCTTGGTTTGTTTTTATTTCACTTCAGTGAAATCAGTAAGATGTTTGAAAATAAGACTGGTCTCTCATTCTATTTCTGCTGCAGCATTCTCCTGAATTTCAAAAGAAATACACCCAGCAAAGAGGTGTTCAGATTTTATGGACTTTGAGAATAGATGAGAAAGTTCTCATGAAATGTGACATAATAATTATTTTCAGTGATTAGCATGTAAGTCTTCAGTGTGTCATAATCAAGTTTTAGGTTTACTGTATAAGACTTACAGTTTTATTCAGTCTGTTGGCAGGTCCAGAAAGAATCTGTTGCATTGTTTATAACTCAGCTTATTGGCTGATTACATACACAGAATGGGAAGAAAATCTTAACTTTGGGACAAACAGAATATGTTTTAGAGGTTTCACTTGTGCATAAAGTTGGCCATCCAAGCCCCTGAACATGTCATTTTTATGTGGCCTGAATTTCAACTGTTAAATACCTCAGAACTAAGCAATTTCCTCATGTAATCTCTAAATTTAGCACTTTATGTGAAGTAGCATTTCTTAAAGAAAAATACATCTCTTCACAATTCTGTTGCTGTTATGAATAATACCAATGTCACCAAATAATAACATTACAAACAAGCTGGCGGTAAATAAGGAATTAGCCAAATAAATCTGTCAGCATATTTATGAAGAGATGGACAAGACAGAGCCAAAATTGTTCTACCTTTAAGAATTAAATACATACTCTTAGTGGAACTATTCTGTATACTGGCAATCATGACATTCTGAGAGATTTGACTGAAATCTTGTGTTTATTTAATATCTATAGTTTTTTCTTTATGAGCACATGCTTTCTGGAAAGCAGAATTAGTGCTGGAAATGATATTTGAAAGCAGACAGTGAAACTGCTTGATAACAGGAGTTTAGTTTGCTTTCTTTCAGTTACTGAAATAAAATGGAGGGTGTGTCATTGTGTGGGATAGGCAGTTCTTGGCTCACAAGTAAATTGCTTTGCCTCCCTAAAAAGGGCTTGGAGAACAAGTAGGTTTGTTTTAGGCATCCATCTTAGCCAAGACTAACATCTGACAGGTAGACTCAACATCTTGACACCACTGTAAATGTTAATGTTAGCTCTGCTTTGTTTTGATAGCCTTGTCAGACACTTATTCACCAATAGTACTTATTTAAGTAATCAGACTCTTAGAATTAAGAAAACTACTGTAATTCTCAGTCTGGGGACACATTTTTACTGAGGTGTGTAACTTCAAACAGGTGTGATAGTTGTTTTCTTCTCCCTTCTTGACTTGACACTAAATCCTGTACCTCAAATGAATGACAGCAGTGACCAAAGCACAGATTTAAGATTCTGGACTGATTTGTAAGTTACCTGAAGTGCAGCAGTTTGTAACAAATAAACCTTTGCAAGACTTCTGGAGAAGCTTTCATTAAAATAATTTTAAAACATTTAATTATTAAAATAAATTTTTCTCTCTTCCTATAAAGATTTCCAAATTCAAGTCTGCTATTAAACAAAGGTGAACCAAAAGAATGTTAATAGAACTGCTAATAATTTCTGAACAATAGAAAGAAAATGCCTTATTGTTACACATTTATTCCCTTTGGTTCTACATATCATGTTTTTGATTTATGAAGTCTCTCAATAGTGAAGCAGGTTGGAAAACACTGTCCTTTTAAGCTGACAAACTTGTACTCTTATTTATTTCAGTAGGGTGAAAATTACCCTTTCTTCAACAATACCCTTGAAGTTTGCAGCTTCAGTACAGTTAAATGTTAAAACCAAATTTAACCCAACCACACATAGAGAAACAAACAGAACTGAGGGTACTTAGATCCTCCTAAAGTTGCTTTTCTCTGTAGTAAGTATATTATTTTCTCCCATAGGTGAAATAGAGCTTCTGGAAGCGGTAAGTACCAGGCATGTGTTTTCTTCTAAGTGACTATTGTTGCTGAGATGAATCATCAAATCATCCATGTCTTGTATTTTCAAAATTCTTCTTAGTTTATAGAAATAAAGGTTGGCACTCGCTGGGAATTTTAACCACTCTGGTGAACTAAACCTATGAGATACAGACCTGGGAGTCCAGAAAATAGCTTGAAAAGAATTCAGCATTACATTTTAATAGAAAAAGTGAATTTAATTTTTTTTCCTTGATTATTATGTTAAAAATTTGTTGCTTTTTCTGTGTGCAGAAGCTGCAGAACAGATGTAATATTTACAAAAAGATTAGCAACATAGTCATGTTTGAAAACATGGTAATATCTTGTGACATGAGTGATCTTTACAAGTTGCTAGAAAAACGTGTCCTGTAGCAAACTTCTCAGCATCTCACTTTATCTACTCTTCTTGTGGCTAATTTTTTGATATCTAAAAGATAGGTTGGAGGTCACTAGAGAACAACAGGTTGAGTTTGAACAACCTCTTTGCAGAAGAGTAAAATTATATATAAAAAGCTTTCTTAAGTGAGTTGTTTCTTCCTTAAAATATGAATGAAAAAGTTTTCAGGCTATGGATTGAACTTCTGTTCAATAGCAAATCAATATCAGATCAATTAAAATTATGTCTGAATGTCTTTGAAATTTTCGGTAGTGTTTCAGTATAACTGCTTTTATAAACACTTTTTTTTTTGTTATTGAAATGATACAGAAGCAATTTTACTGGCTATAATTTTTCCAAGGTAAGTTAGTTTGAGTTCAGGTAAAAGAGCTGTGAGAAAACAAATGCTTGGACTCGTGCAGTCAAGGAGCAGAAATGCATCATTTGCTCTGATTTAGTTCGAGGAACTAAAGTAGTAAACAGAAGTAAGTCCTGTGGGTGAGGAGGCAGGTTAAGATGGATTTTAGTTTGTTCTGGGTAAGTGGCTATACTGAGGTAGTTGCACATTTAACAGTGGATAGAAGTGAGCCCTGTGAAGATCAGAGCTTCTAAAACTTGTTTCTAGAAATAAGCTGTGAATGAGGTTTAGCAGGCAGTGGGAGCCTAGTGTGTGTGTTTGGGCTTCACTGCACAAACTACTGTGGCAGTAAATAATGTTATGGACAATGTGTGAATTACTGACTCTTATAAATGGCATTTATCAATGTAACTGGCTTTGAAAAGAATGGTTTTAAAGAATGGGTTTGAAATGAGTAATGTTTTTCCTATTGCTTATGATGTACACTTTAAAAAACAAGCTACATTGACTAGGGAAAAAAAAAAAAAAAGGTTAAATCACAGTTGGAACTTGTGTTGGTCCAAATGGCCACCACAGAACAAAAGCTGGTAAAATCCTTCTTTGACTTATTTTGACAACATAAACAGTACTTAGGGACTTCAAAATGGAATGTGTGCAAATGCCATCCAGTATAATGTAAAACTTCATCTCCAGCTTTCAGTAGGCATTCTCAAATTCTGTGTGTTGTGGCTAAATACAATCCAGGCATTTATGAGTGCAGATGGTGTTTTTAACCAGCTGTACCACTGTGATGTAAAAGGAATTCCTTGTAACATAGAAGGGCACCTCATCAGCTGAGGGGAATGCAAGGAGAAGTGATCTAAATGAGCCCATAGAAACATCTGTTGCAGTCATAAATATATATGAGTCTGTTCAGCTGTATAGAATTAAAATTATGCTTCAATAACACTTATTTTAATAAGCCATAAAAGAGATTGCATTGCAAATTATAGATGCTGACTGAATTTTAAAATGAAACTAATGCTTATTTTTGTGCTGCATTTTCACATCAAGATAACATTGTGTTTCCCTTAATACAGTTAGGAATAAAGCAATTTGGCAAAGGAAGTATCAGGTTTGCCCTGTTTTTTTTGTGAAGAGTCATAGTTTGGGCTAAAATGGTTAATAAATTTGAAATGTATTTTGTATATTACTCTTCACTTAAGAAAAAAAAAAAATTAGGAAACTATCTCCTCTTTTATCCAAGTGTAAAGTCTCTTTAACATTCCCATCATCTTGGAACTAGCAAAAATGTCTTTTTAAATGAAGCTCCTCATTGTCTTCAATGGTTAATGAATTTAATTAATTTATAAATTAGGTCAATTTTTTTGCAATACTTACAGTTTTAGAGAGCTCTTGTCAATGATGGTAAAGTCATGATGAGTTTCTATACACTTGAGATTAAAAAAGAGAACGAGTCATACCCATATTCTAAGGATGGGAATGTTTTCTTAATGGAAGAATTCCCATTCACCTAAATAGGACAAATTTTCAGCCTGTTTTCATCTATTTCTTACCTGCAAAATAACTTTCTTCATGTGTTTTTAAAGTTGTGCTTCTGTCAATCCCCAGTAATTTGTCTTTCTGTTAATTTTGTTTTTCCAGGATGATCTTTATGGTTGCTGGCCAGCAACTAAGCACCACACAGCTACTTCCACTTCTCCCCTCTCCCTGCCACTGCCATGAAGGGAAGAGAACTGGAAGGGTGAAAGTATGAAAACTCTTGGGTTGAAATAAAGGCAGTTTAATAGGGAAAGCTAAAGCTGTGCACACACAGAGCACAAGGAATTTGTTTCCTACTTCCCAAGAGCAGGTAGGTGTTCAGCCATCTCCAGGCTCCATTATGTGTGGTGATTACCTGGGAAAACAGGTGCCATCACTCCAAAAGTCATCCTGTTCCTTCTTTCCTCAGCTTCATATGCTGACCATGATGCCAGGTGATATGAAATATCCCTTCGGTCAGTTGAGGTCAGCTGTCCCAAATGTGTCACCTGCCAGCCTCTTGTGCACCACAGCCTCCCTGCTGGTGGGGTGGTGTGAGTAGTAGAAAAGGCTTTGACTGAGTGCAAACACTGCTCAGCAATTACTGGAACATCTCGGTATTTCCCACAGTGTTTTCAGTGTGTATCCAAAACACAGCCACATACTAGCTACTGTGAGGAAAATCCACTCTATCAGAGCTAAAACCAGCACAAATTGCTAACTCCAGTCTTTTCTCAAGGTGGTTACTTGTGGACCCTCTTTAGAGCAGTGAACTTAATTAATGATGATTTTTTTTCATTATTCTGTTATCATTTTGTTCTACAGGTATAGCTTACTCTGATTTCCTGCTGCAAATCCTGTTTCCACTTACTGATCATCTTCAAGCAAACATGTAATACATGCCACAACCAATCTATCTCAGTCTAATCAACATCCATTTAAATGCGACACAGGTTTTATGTCTGTCTGGACTTGCCAATCTAACTGACATAATTTGGATTTATTAGAAACATTCTAAATACTGTTACACTGTCAATTAAAAATAAAACTCCTGAAGTAGTCTGGAGAACATGCAAGTTGATATTTAGCACTTATATTTTTAAAATAACCCATTTAACTATAAATACTGTCATTAATACTCGAAGAGAACTTACTTGCAATGCTTAGCAGTGTGTTAAAATTGTTTTCTCAGAATATTTGAATAGTGATTTAAATGAAACGTTGAAAAGTATTAATCTTTTTTATTTCTCAGTTAGGAAGACTACGATAATGAAAAAATTAATGGTCTGAAATTTGTTTGCTTGCACTACTCAGAGAGCAGCTTGGATAATTCCTGCTCCTTAAGGACTATTTCTGTCAGGCCTTGTTACGCTTGACTTGTATCATCCTTGGGAGCTGTTCTGTCAAACTGATGCTTATTTGATATATATTTAATTTCTCTTCAGTAAATTTGTCCAAACACATGCATCATGTGCACACGTGCCTGCTTGAATGCTAAGAAGATGAGCAGAAAGGGACACTGGGAGATGTCAATCCGTGTTTTAGGTAGTTGTGGCTGACTGACTGTATGCTGATAGGCATCTCCAGTTTGACTGCACCTTCTACTAACATTCACTGGGTCCTGCCTCAAGGTGGAGCTGTTATATTTGCAATGGAGATGAAGGCTTGAAAAGCGTTTTCTTCCCCCAAATGCTGTTTCTGATCTGAATAGAAGTATGACTTATATTGGTAAAGAAAAACGGCAAGCAATTTTCCTCCCCCTCAGCAAAAGCTGGAGTCATCAATGTGTCATGCAGGTGGATGGCCTACAACACTGACTTTTATTCAATCTGACATCACCTCTTGTAGCTTCAGGAAGATGCATACCTTTCACTTACAGTAGGTATCCAGCAGGATTATGACAATGTGCGCATTCCAGCTGTCAAAAGCAGCGCTGTTCTTCTTGTGGCCCTATGTAATTGGGAATGTTTTCCCAGAAGACAGTATGTGTGTGTGTATTGTGTTCTAATTAAGAATATATGAGACAGTTATGGCAGGCTGTCAAATCAATGGGACGCTGAGTATATTTTAGTCTCCATGCTATAGTCTAAATAACCTTTTAAGGACTCTGTTCCCTCGATGTGGTAAATAAATGCTGAATGTTTTATACTTAATAGGCCTTTGAGTAATGTGTTCCACATGGCTTTATTGCTGGAATGAGACCACCTTATCACTAAATACACAATAGTGACATGAGGTCATTTCAGCATGAAGAAATGCATAAATCTCATAGATGAATAAAGTCAGTTTATTATGAAGTTTAGTTACAGAGGAATACCCTAAAGTAAACCTTGGTGGCAAATTTAAGGAAAACGAGAGAAATCCATAAATACTTAATCTAGTTGTCTTTGACCTCTCAGTTTAATACTATGAATGTCTCAGCTGGATTTGTGAAAGTGATGCTTATTTCCTGCCTATTTTTATTTCTTTGAGTGAGAATACCTTTATTCTGATAACTTAAAATATTGGCTATATAATGCATTTCTAAAACTTCTTTTTTCATAGTATATGAAAGAAATTAGGCCAAGCCTCTCTCTTAACAGGTGTAACAAATGACCTGCTTTTAGTTCATTTTGTGTGAAGATTACCAGAAGTTAAGAAGAAATTAAATTTGGCCCTGAATAGCTTGTGCAACCTGAATTTGGAGCAGGTTGAATTGAATCCGGGGGACTCTCTGACAGGCTGGGTACAAAGCGCCCCTTGGTGAGAGGGTTCACACTTTGAAGCCAGTATTCTGTACAGAGCTGGATGACATCTTTTTTTAAGACACTTATTCACCAAAAAATGTGGCTTCTAATTGCTAACAGTATTGGTAAAATGAGATACAATTAACTTTTACAGGCACAAAACTGGAAAATAAATAAACATTCTTGAATGGTGCAACATTTTAATGTTTGAAAACCCAATATTTTGATCATTTGGGCCTAGAGTAGGAGCAGAGACCCTTGAAGATAATGCACAAAACTAAAGAAAAATCTTATATTCAATCTTGGTTTCAATGGATGTTTTATTTGCATTTTAATGATGAATGGTTTTGTCCATTTTGTCCAATTGCCTCCGAGTATTTTATTTTTCACTTGTTACTTAGAAGTTTTTCTGTGCTTCGAATACATGTATTGATTCATGAAGGGAGAGAATTCACTTCAGGTAAGTACCCTTCATCACTGGGATAAACTGGTAAAAAGAAGAGCAACACTGATCCATATCGTAGTGATGTAAATTGTAATTCTGCTTTAATTCTAAATCTAGTTCTATTAAAATTTACTGGGATGGAAGTAATTTCAACCACCTGGTTGAAATAATTCAGTTTTCCCTAAACCATACTGAGCCTGAAATATGAATACGAAGGACTGAAAGTTGTGATAATTTGAGCTTTTTTTCTTTGTTTGTTATTTTGGTTTTTTTGATTGTTTGGGGAGCTCTTACTCAGGAGGCATTAAACTTTGCATTGTGGAATTAGGCTGTTTACCTTAGTCTGTGTTGGTTGTCTTGCCTAGGGTTTTTCAGAGTATTTAGGGACATGTTTAATACTCTTGATGAAAACAGATGTCGAAATTCTCTGCTAACAGGAGTCCAAGGTATTTGGCTGTGCAGTCAGTTCTGCAAATTTACTTCTGTGTTTTCTATGTGTTTTAGGTGCCCTGGGCCCAGTTTTTGAGTAATTTTGGCTCCCACCTCACATGCTATTTATGGTTCTTGGATGGTTCATGTCTGTTCTGAGAAAGAGAAAGATAATTCCTTACAGCAATATTTAAAGTTATTTGAAACTAATTGGAGGTTGTCAGAAACTCAGAGCAGTTTTGTCAGTTTATCCTAAGCTGGTGTGAATTAACTTGGACTCACTTTCAGGCTAAGAGGCAACTGAACACAACCTTGGAAGTTGTCAGGACTGTATTGCAGCATAATGATGATGATGATGATTTATTATTGTTGTTGTTGTAGGATGCATGGGTGCTTCCCCTTTTTTTTATAAGTTTCTTAATTTTAGAGCTTGAATCCACAGGAATTAAAATTAATGTAGAATCTTCTATCCCTGTCCCATCTTTCTTCTCAGCTTATTCTGAGAGCTGTACATTCTGTCTTTCTGCTCAGCTTTTCGGAAGTGCTGCAGATAGCAGCGTTTAAAAATCAAACTGCCAGTTTCAGACCCTGCTCTTGTTTATCTATGCTGGTTCTAGCTGGCAGCTTCAGCTCAGCTCAGCTTGGAGGGGCTGGCGTTGTCAGAAGCAACTTTTGCAATCCTCTCAGCAGAAGTGATCTGAGAAACATGGCAGAAGGAAGATGATGAGCTGAATAAGCTTCTAGCCAGCTAATAATGGTATGCTCACAAATCCAGCAGGGCTTGAATGTCTGAGAAGTGTACTAATGCTCACATTTCCTGAGAAAGCCTTGCTGTACTGTTTGGCCTTAGCAGAATTATGTAGGTGGATAACTCATTTCACAAAGATACTGCTCCCCTTCTGTCAGACAAAGGTATGTCATCAGGAAAGAATCTAAAATTTATGAACTGCAGATTCACTTTTATTTTTCGGCCTTTACTGAAAGGTAAAGGTATTACCAGTATTTTATATACACAGATAAAGTATATGGACTATAGTATAGACTATTCAAAATATATCCCCATTTTCTTTAAACTTTCTGACACGTTTTAGTTTATTAAAACTAAAAAGAAATCTTAAAGAGAATAATTTAATGATGTTAAGAGACTGACTTGATTTTAAAAATTAAATATAGATGGCAGCCAAGTTTTCCTGGAATTGTTCTATCGCTCCTCTCTCAATTCAGTGGTCTCAATCCTCATCCTTCTCCAAATCATTTTCAGAGAGAATGAACTTGGAATATTTCCTTGTGATTTCAGCAAGTTGTGCCACTCTACAAATATCAAGTATACTTATTTAAGATGAATCTGTACTGAATATTATGATGCTTTCAGAATGTATTTGAATATCTGAAAGTAATGTATTTTGTGCCCATAAGAGGGTGTCCAGTTGATCAGACATAAGCTGAACAAATACCACCTGTACAGAAGAATAGATCTTATACAGAGCACTGTTGTGTGGATCAAATTTCCTAAATGAATGTCTTTGGAACATCAGCCTGAAAGAAGAAGAATATATGGGGGGAAATAAAACCCTCAAGCAAACATGTTAAGTGAATTCTCTAGGAAATGTGTCTAAGTATATCTTAGTATATTATACTTATATAAGTATATTACTTAGTATAAGTATATAATATACTTATATATTACTTATATATAAGTAATTTTTTATTTGTGTATCACACATATAACGAATTTTGTTAAGTAATTCTGAAAAAAAATAAAATGTTAACCTCATAGGTTATTTTTTCTATCAGTCAAGCTGTTAGAATATCTTCACCCTATTTAGAAGTTCTGGGAACCTTTCTCTTTCAACCAAGATAACATTTCTTGAGCATTGAGTTACCCGGTTCTGTTCGTGCTCTTCTGCTGTGTCCATCACCAAGTTATTTGTTTTCCTGATCTGTTCCTATGGGAACCATGTGGTTTTAATTACATGTTATGATGTGGGATTATCTTTTTTGCTTTGGCAAGATTGTTTAATGTCATTCCATCTCTGTAGTGAAAAAACATGTATTTTTCAGTTGGCATAAAAATATTGTCAGACAATAAACTAGTGGTGATACTTTCCCTAAATTCCATTAGGCTGATATTTTGGGACTCTTTATTTCTTCTTTGGGGTTTATTGCTGTTGTTTTTAAAGTATTCTCATTAAAAATCTTGCCATACTGTGCTGATGTGGTGGATGAAGGCAGTAAATAGAGTCATTGTGGAAGATGTAAGCAGAAGTAGAACTCCATTTACTTGCAGAGGAGGAGTCAGATGAGGTAGTGTAGGGTTTGAAGGGGAATTACAACAGCCTTCATATTCAGAAGTTTTTGCTTTCTTAAAAAAATACCACATTTGCTCAACATAGTATTCTCTCAAGTTGTAGAAACAATGCTGCTCACAGCTTTTTATGTATCAAAACTAATGTATTCAGCAGTAATAACTTTAAAGAAAAATGACTGCCTGGCACCCTCTTTTTTCCAGCAGGCATTTGTTTGACAGGTAGACCTATTGAGAAGTCAGCAGAAGTGCTGGAGGTAATGCATGGTCAGAAGGAGGCCTTAGAGGCAGTGCCTGTGTCTACTGACTCTTCTTTTGACTTCTTCTCTTTAATTTTGTGATTTAGTGACCTTTCATAGTTCAGCAGACAAGGGAGATAACTGTAAAAAAACATCAGTGGGGCTTCAGAGATAATTTTATTTCAAGATATACAGAATACAGTTGTACAGTACTGGTGTTGTGGGGAGTATGAAAGTCAGAACACTTTTGCCCAGGTATTTATTGTATGGATTTAGTCACATATGTTGCCGTGGGTAGTGTCAAAGCATCCTGTGAGTGCAGTGCTTGAAAAAGTAGTTATGACCAGCATTATTCTGGAATGTGCTGAGAAATACATTAAAGCCTAAAGAAACTGAAACCCTTAATGGAACTTGTCTGTGCCTTTTAGTAATGAGTCATTTTCAAGGTTATTTTGTAGTATTTCATACTAGGGTGAAAGTTGATATAATTTCAGTACTACTTCTCTTTATGCTGAGAGAAATGTGCTAAAGGTAATCTGCTGAGTAAATTCTGCAAATTATGAAGTTTTTAAAATAAATTGTAGTCCTTTTTTCCCCCCTCTTTCAAACCTTTGAAAGGTTTTATGGGACTCCAGCATAATCTTTGTACAATAAAAAGCAGGGAATTATATTTAGTTTAAGTTTAACCTGTTGAATTAAGAAAGATGTCATGGCCTTGAGTTTGTATTAAGAAATGACTATAGTTTTGGTAATAAAGTAGCAAACTTGCATTTTTCTGGCCATCTTAACCAGACCTTCCAGGAAAAGTAACCTTACTTTTACAATACTCTGAGGATAGTAAAGGGTGTGTGTGTAGGGTGACACAGTGTGGGGTTAGTATTTTCTTTCATGTAAAGTGTTTTTCTAAGCTGACATAAACAGAAAATAATGTTTTCTACATAGTATCAATACATGGTTGTCTGCTTAGGGAGAAT